TTCCTTAGTTTTGACAAACGATAAATGCCACCACGCCTTGCTAATGTCAGTGGAGGCACAAACTACATGCACTTGGGATCCCTTACCTAACCATCCTTTCTTAATTTAAGAAACAAAAAAAAATCTCTTCTACCCATCCAGGCACACTACCCCTAGAACCTATAATTTAAAAGAAGGAATATAGTTAACTGGTAAGAGATTAAGTCAAATATATTTGTTGTTTTTGTTTTTTTTACCAATCAATACATACAAGATTCTACTCTTGAGAAAAACAGAAAATTTGTACAAAGATAAGTCTGGATAAATACTAATGCTAAGTTAGTATGTTTTTAGCCAATAATGCTTGTTAAATGTGAAGAGCTGTCTAGTAGCAATTGAACAGGCTTAATATCTAGTCGATGTGTATTACTTTCCTTATGGACCCTGATGGTAAATATGCTATTAAGTAATCTATTAGTGCAAACTGAATTTAGTATTTCTTTTTTACCTCCAATTATATTCATCATTTTAGAATTATAATCCCCAGTCTTATGCAGTGTGAGTGGAATTGTCAATGTACCTGTTCATACAATTCTGCATAATATACTTGGTGTTAAGTGTTTGCAGAGATCCAATGCTCAAGATTTTTACGAGTGCATCAATTTTTCATGACACTTTTATGGATTCAGATATACTGAATTGAGAAGTTAAAATTTTGTCTGCTTACCTTTCCTGTTATTTTTAAAGCTGATTAAACACACACACACACACACACACACACACACAATAACAACAACAACATAGTTTTATAGTTAAGGTAGGCAACCCACCTGGTACTTGAGGGTTCATAGTCAAAGTGGGCAACCTTCTGCACACTTATTTAGTGCTTTATCTTCCTTTTCTTGGTTTCTCACATTCCAGAGATAAACTTCCTTTGTAATGACAAGGAGCACATTTATTCCTTCTTCATTTTCACTTCAATACCACACTTAATAATTCTCTTAAAATTTTCTTCATATCAGATAATTTTAATGATTTCTTAACAATTTTAAAATAAGTGTCAATATAGTTTTTACCTATTAGACAAGTGGTGAATATCTGATATATGACCTAATAGCAATTTGTTAAATTTGGTGTAGTTGTTCCACATTTCTGCAAGTATCTATTGCACAGATGATGTTTAGGCCACTAATCAGTGAGGGCTCCATAGGTTAATAATAAGAAGATCACTGTCTTTAATAAACCTACAAGTAAAGTTGAATAGAAATAACCAGTGTAATACAGAGTATTATAAGGGAATGACAAGGAGCCAAGGAAAAGGAGGGCATACAAGATTTTCTGTAGAGGAGGCAGTCTCTATTATAATCCTACATCCTCAGCTACCTGCAAGAAATCCCATCCAAAGTGAGAGGAAATTCTCTGATCCTTTCTGTGGGGCACAAGCACCCACCCTCTTCAGGGTGTAGTCTGTTCTAAATTTTAGAATAATTTACAACATTGTGAACTCCTTGAACAAACAATCTATTAAGTCATGCAACACATAACACAAACATTTTATTCTATTTTATTTTACTTTTGGTACTGGGGATTGAAATCAGGGGCCCATTACCACTGAACCACATCCCCAGGCCTTTTATTTTATTTTATTTTATTTTATTGAGACAGGATCTCACTAAGTTGCTTAAGGTCTTGCTAAGTTGCTGAGGCTGGTCTTGAACTTGCAATGCTCCTGTCTCAGACTACTGAACCACTGGAATTACAGGCATGCACCACTGCTCCTGGCTATACCTACAGATTTTAAAAATACATTTCTTTACACTTTTCCTGCTTTAGCCCAGACTGATTTGGGAGATAAAAATCAGTAGTTATACAATTCTGAACTGCACTACCCAGTCTTGGAGTAGCATTCCATGTGGATGATGCTTCGTTATTATCTTGGTACTATCCTAGCATGGCCCTAGAGTCCTCATTTACTTTGCAGGCCTGCCTAACACCTGGGAGCAAACTCACCTCTTAATGCAAGCCCATGATACTTTTTGTTGAGTTGGTGATTGCTGGGAGCCTGGGTCTGCATTTAGATCAACCATTCTTTTTTTCCCTACAGCCTGGCGATCTGTGATTAACCTGTGTGACTTATTATTTTTTCTTAATTAAAAAAAGAGAAACATAGGCTCCTTCAAATTGAGACTACTTTGACTTTTATCATCTTTCTATTATGGATTAAATACTTCCTATAGTTTAAAAAGTTACCACTTTAAATCAAGATTTTAAAAAGGTAAAACTAATAATAGAATAGTTCTGAAATCACATTGTTCTTTTGCTCATTTTTCAATAAGTTTTAGTTAATATTGTAGAGGGATTTATTCTCTAGTTTATAAGGACAACACATTTACTTTGGAACTTTTCACCACGTAAAAAAGAACCCTAAAATATCTGGAGAAGTGATATTTTAAGCATTATATTGTGCTCTGGTGGTTAGAGTTTAGCAAAATACAAATCAATAAAAAGTATATTCCATTTGTTTGTAAGTAAAAGATAGACTTAAAAATTAAATAAGGATAAAAGGAAAAGTAAAAATAAGGTGTTTTGTAGATTGTCATGACAAAATTTGCACATAATGCATTGTTGCAGTAGATGCATTTTTATGGGTCTGGCAATTTTTCTGAAATAGTCAATTACTTTCTTAGGTAAGATAAATCTGAACAGTCTCAGAGAATAATTTGGAATAATGATCTATGCAATTTTAACTTTTCCATTGATAATAATTGCTAAAATGTCAAAGGAACTTAAAAGCCTGACTGAAACTACCTTGTGCTGATAAAGAAATTCACCCAATTGATTTGTGTATATTGTAGGGTAGTTTTTAAGATGGGAGCATGGAATATAAGATACCCTATATTCTTTATCTGCATGTGTGACCCTGTTAGTTTACATGGCAGGTATTTACCTAGAACCTATATTATTGCAGATTAAATTTTTCATATATTCAGGTAAATAACATAAAAATCTATGTCTTTGTTTAATTTATAGACCATATTTGTGTCAAATATATTAGATGTTGGTTTTTTTTTTAAATGACCATATCAAGGCCATATTCTGAGCTAAGGATATTCAGGGTACTTCTCTGTGATGTAGCAAGTCTGGTCATTGCTGTGTTGAGCTGTGTAGGTAAGAAAGCACAAAGGAAAACCTGCTGGCGATTTAAAATACATTTGAACAGGTATATTTTTGTCCTCAATAGAAAAGAAAAATATCATAATTTTACATTCAAAAATGTCATTAATGGTCTAAAAGACAGGAAGCAGTCTGTTGATTAATTCAGAAGTGCCCTTAAGTTGAGAGGTGCTGGGAACACCACCAAGGATAGAGAAGTGATATCTCAAAAGAGCAGAGCAAAAAAGGTAAAATCAAGCCTGAAAAGAAGCAGTAAGCATCTGCAAAGTGAGCTCTCTTCTCCTCCTAGGACCTCCAAATTATCAAACACATTTAATTATTCACAAAAATATTGACATGGCTGAGAAACACATTCTGGGAGGTGGAGATACTAAATGATACTTAAATCTAGCTATGTTAATAAAACAAATAGATAAAGCAGAGAAGGAAGATGTGTGTATCTTGACACACAACTTATGTCAAATTCTTATTTGAAATTAAAAAAAAAAAAAGGATTCACCTGAAAAAAGTGGGAAAAAATAGTCTTGGACCATAGATGAGTTATTTAAAAAGACTCAACAGTTTTCCTCCATATGAGAGACACAAATTGGCCTCTAAGTCTCTCTGTGGTCAGTCTGTGGATTATGTACAGATTTCCTTTCTATGCATGGGTGAGGAATCTCTATGCCTGACTGTTTTCACCTGAGAAAAGAATCTGAATTTGACTCGATTTGGGAAACACAGGGGAATATGGTGTTTTAATTGTTCTGCCATCATACTCTTGACTCTTTCTGTCCATTCCCTCACACCCAGAGTGTCAAGAAGTTGGCTGTGTAGCTGTGAACAGGGTCTGGAACCATCTTTCTGTGGGACAATCATAAATCTTGCCAAGGGGTACACAGAGAGACTTTTTCTTTGTTCCTCACTTTTTTTAAATTCATTTATTGCTTGTTTGATTTTTTTTTCATTGTCAGATTTTCTGCTGGAAAATTGAAAGAAAGAACTTTATTCACCATGAAGTAATTATCCCTTCTCTGCTAACCTGTGTTCTTTGCCCCCTTCTTTGGAGTTTCAGAAAGGGATAATTTCAGTTTACTAAAAAAAAATCATTTTGACAAACATTTATCCTTCATCTTCTCTGGAATGACTTACAAAATTGTTTCTTCATCTCCCATTAAAAACTGCATTCATTCAATACGACCAGAAATGCTGGGAGAAAAGTACCTTGTCATTAGATAACCTGCTGTTCTCAGCAGCTAGAACTAGACTTGGGCCAGATGATGCTTGCGTTGATTTTCTTGATACAACACGAATGCACTTGTCCTTGGACTTACACACTTCTTATTTCTTGGAGTGTATTGCAAATTCCTAAGGGTCAGTAGTGAACTCTGAAATCTAGTCTTGTTCTTGCAGCAGTGGAGCATAACTTGAGACTACTATCATGCAAGACTTTATGAAATACTTAGGAAAGAATACAAGATGGAGCAAAAGTGACATGATATCATTGTATAATTCTCAAAAATACTTGAGCAAATGGAGTTCTGTGTGAATGAATGACCTTTTCATAAACAAGTTGAAGGTAATCCAGTGGGAAGTCAATACTCATTTAATGTTATTGGCCTGAATTACTAATACTCAGATTGTTTATTGCTGAGCTGAATCTAATATAATGACATTCGTCCGTTGGATGGTAATTAGATCTTAAAGGAAACAGTGAAGTTACTAAGGACCCCAAGAAATGTCATGGTAGTGATTCATTATGCATATAATTATTTTTCTTGATTGATCTTGTTGAGTCAAATCATGCAGAGAATGAAAGCAGTTACAGTTATGGTTAAGCCACTAACATTATTACTCTGCTCTGTCAGATGTGTTGTAGAAGACAAGAACTCGAAGGTGGCCTGGTTGAACCGTTCTGGTATCATTTTTGCTGGACATGACAAGTGGTCTCTGGATCCCCGGGTTGAGCTGGAGAAACGCCACTCTCTGGAATACAGCCTCCGCATCCAGAAGGTGGATGTCTATGATGAGGGTTCCTACACATGCTCCGTTCAGACACAGCATGAGCCCAAGACCTCCCAAGTTTACTTGATCGTGCAAGGTAAGATAAGAGTGGGATATAAGGTGGTAAGGAAGAGATGCAGTTGGATAATAAGCATGATATATAAAATATTTACAAAATTCTTTCTAAAAAGGAAAAACTTCCAAATGCAGGATTGCCCTTAAGTATCTGGTTTCCTTCTACAAAATGGATTTTAAGTGAGAGGGCTAAAGAGAATAGAGAGAGTACCCTTGCCACTGTGAGCCAGTACCTTTGACAAGAAGGGTTTCTCCTAGTTCAGAATATAAAAACATACAGCAAAACTTACAGCTATTAAAAAAAAAGGTAAAATAGGAACGTAGGAACATACAGAGTGCTTAGAACCACAGGAAGTTCACTTTACTACCCTACCAGGTACCTGTGTTTCACCAAACTTAAGAGAGTTGGGTTTTACCTCTCCTTGTCCTAATTAAAATTTTTCATTAATTATCTGTTTTTATGACAGAAAATAACCCACTTGAATCAAAGTGTGAAATATGATATATCAAGAACTATGTAATGTTTTGAACAGCCAACAATAAAAAATTAAAAAAAAAAAAGAAAACAACAACAACAACAAAAAAAGAAATATTTTAGAACAATAATGGTCCCCACAGGCCTTGATATCAGCGTCCAGCTTTGTGTGATTTGTATCTTCACTAAATAACAAGTTACTTGTGACCAAGTCCACTGACAAGGAACTTCAAAGTCATTAGGGACAATTTGCTTTGAGACTGGGGTTTCCACAGGCACATCTGAGTCGGGGTTTTACAGAATGCAAACTCTAAATGGCATATGCATGCTCCTTAACGATAGCTCCCTTGAGTCCCTTTTCTCATAATTGCAAAATGAAAACAAAGCTGATCAGCTGCAAAATTTTTTTGCAAAGTAAAGTCAAACCACCAGCAGTTTCAATCCATCTATCAGGAAAGATCTAAACGCTAACAAATATTAGGGCTGTGTTTGTGTATTCCTGATTTACAATTTTATGTAAATTTAATGCAAATTAGGCATGGCCCTAGGGCTCCTGTCAGGATTCCAGTGCAGTCAGTGGTGTGGCAAAGTTTGACTGTAGCTTCTATTAATGTGTTATGGAATTGATTATTGCCGTGTTTAAATTATTGCTCTTCCAGATTGTCTGATTAATAGATTGAAACTAGAATAAAATACATCAGAGACTGGCTGATGCAAGAGTGGTTTAGTCAGGTGGCTGCTATCTTGGTCCATTTTCAATGGCTGACAACTTCATTTTATTCCTAATAAAAGGTGTGTCTACTGGTTTGCAAAGTCCCAATCACAGTCAAAGCATAGCACACTTTCCTTGTACTTTAGTGAAGAGTGCATGAGCTCTGTAATGAGAGACACCAGGGTTTAGATCTCTGGGACAACATTTAATAAGATATGTAACTAGAAATATGTAAACACATCGAGGTGTTAATTTATCAGCTCCCTTGGAGCACGTACAGGTACACACATGTACAAACACACACACTCCTACCTCAAAAGGAGAATTTTTTTTAACCTGATTAAGTGGTAAAGGGAGAAGTGATAACTAAGGCTCTTCAGAACAAATTTTATCTAATGGCCTGTTATTAATACTATCTTGTGATTTTTCTTTCTTAGTATTTATTATATTTCATTCATATATTTATTTATAATGTTCTATGCTTTAAAAATCCTGCTTAACTCTGAGATTTTTTTAATACAATTTTAGTATCTTTATAGCTTTTATTGTCATTAGAAGGATCCTAGAGAGACCACAATAGATATTTTGTATTGTCCTATACTAAATAAAATTCAATGATCTGACTATTATATTTCTTGGTGAGGAAGAGATGAGAAAAGAAACCATTAAGTGTAAGTTTTTTGCTCAAGATCACACATAATTCAGGGAGCAGTTGAGAGCCAAGCAGATATGAAGTCAAATTTAAAGCACTTTCTAATAGAAAGGAATGTTCCCTTATAATTTTTTAAGAACTACTATAAGGGTTTTTTATTTAAGTCTGAGCTGATACACAGAGTTTCTTCTTTTATTTTATTTATTTTCTTATTTACCTGTGTACTTTTAAGCTACAAAACATGGCCTTTGCAATAAGGTTAAAACCAGAGCTCAGTTAGATCTTATTATACCTACCTTCATACCATGGAAGTGCTAGTGAAAATTAAGTTAACATAATATTAAGGGTTGGAAAAGAGCTACATTGTCAAGTGCTATTTATTGTCTTGTTTAATTATCATATTACTATTAAGTAGATATAAATAATTTTATATGTATATTAAAACTTTTATACACACACATATATTCAAACAGTTAAAGTTCAGAGACAATAAAAAATATCCAAAGTTCCCTATTGGCTTAGGACAGAGTTTCAAACCCACATCTATCTGATTCAAGATAATATATTTTTTTCTTCTTTTAACATATTGCTTTTTTTAAAAAAAAATAATTTATTTTTGTTTTTTGCACAAATGGGATGCAACTTTTCATTTCTCTGGTTGTACATTATGTAGAGTCATACTCATACATAGGGTAATAATGTCCATCTCATTCCACCATCTTTCCCTGACACACACCCCTTCCCTTTCTCCCCCTCTCCTCTGTCCAATCCAAAGTTCCTCCATTCTTCCCTTGCCCCCCAAATTATGGATCAGCATCCACTTATCAGAGAAAAAATTTGGCCTTTGGTTTTGGGGGATTGGCTTACTTTACTTAGCATGATATTCTTCATTTACCTGCCAATGCCATACTTTCATTCTTCTTTGAGGCTGAGTAATATTCCATTGTATAAATATACTACAGTTTCTTGCTTTGAGAGAAGCAATGAGGAACAAAACCTGTATTTATAAGGGGTATGAAGACAGGATTGTCTTTTCCTGGAGCCAGTGTCATTGAAAGGAAACTTTTAGACAATTGTATAGATATTGGCATGTGTGACCCCTAGCACCCGATGTCTGCCACTTCTCTTTTATATTCAGCTTTGAAATTGTCAGAGGACTCATACATTCACATTATTTATTCCCCCTGATTCTTACTCTGTGAATCATCTATATATGGTTTTTACCCCATCCAAGATTCTACTTCTATGTATGACTGACATCATTCTTTTTCCCAGATCCACAGCCCTTTCCTTCAAACTCTAAGAACCTTTAATGTCCTTCCTTGATCACCCTCCATGGTTTCTGCAAATCCATGTAATTTCTTTTCTTTAATCAATGATGAGGACACCCTTAACTCAAAGGAGCTCTGAGATAGCATTACAGAATCATGACTCGGCAGTTACACTGCTTGATTCAGATCTTTTTTCCTTCATATTAAATATGTAAATGTTGGGATAAATAACTTGATTTCCTTAAAGCCCGATTGTGCCATATGTGAAGTGGAGATTAAAATTAGGAATTTTAAATCCTCCTAAATTTATCATAAGAAAAAGTTAGGTAGACCACCTAGCTTAATGTCTGGAGACCATGTATTGTAACCCAATAGATGGTGATGATGTTGGTGATGCTGGAGAACAAGACAGTGCTGTTGCTGCTCCCATGTTTCTGTAAGGCTCACCCTTGTGCTGGAGTGCGCCCAGAGTCAAACAGCTGTTTTGACTCTCTTAGGATTGGAGTGGGCTCAGGTTTACTTCTTTGGCACTCTAGAAGGCTTTGTAGACCTATATCCCTTTGAAGTTCTTACCTATATTTATTAAAGATGTTTGAGTCAAAAATAAAGTTCATACCAACAGCATTTAGAGTGTTTGTTCAATTTTAGATGGGTGAAATCTCCATAGGATTGCTGATTCAGTAGATCTGGGTAGTGTCTGAGAATTTGCATTTATAACAAGTTCCCAGGTGATGCTGATACTGCTGATGTAAGGACCAGATTTTGGGAACCACTGTACCAAAAGATTTGTATTCTTTAATATCACATGGAGGAAAAGAAAGAAAAAAATATATATGGGAAGCCATACTGCATAATTTTACTCATTTTCAGATAGTGGTACCACTCCAAATATTCCTAAAATTAATCTTTTTAGACATGAAGACATGAGACAGAGAACAGATAGAACAATAGGTACCTTAACTTTCACACTCCCTTTTAGGCCCTCAAAGATGCTTACATAACTTAGCCCTCTGGAATGAAAATCTTCTCTCTCTCCCTAAACTGTCCCTTTTCAGGTGTTGAAGCAGAAAACAAAATTATTGTGTCATACTGGTTCTTGAGGGTCACCACACATAGAATATCCTTGTTGAAATAAATATGCTGAGATTTTTGCTAGACTCTGTGTTTGTCTAAATGATAGCTATACACACTTTCCTCATAAGGTTAACTAAAGAAAGCTTTGCATCAACAAAATTTATAGTTGCCTTTGAGATCCATTCTAATTTCTTGATATTAAATATTCCATCTGTGTAAGTCAAGGGTACCTAAATACAAACATGTATTTGATATACTTAATAAATTGAGAGACCCTTATCTGAAGCCAGATTTTTTTGGTTCCCATGCCAGCAGCTTTATGGAGTCCAAGATCAAAGATTAAAAAAACACCACCCTTAACTTCAGTAAAATAAACAAATGAATATCAATGGCATTATTTTCAATAATAATTTATTCATTTTTTTTCTTCAAATGTTACTGTCCTGTGATTTTGATCTTTCTGATCATGCTTATATGGAAGCATATGTATTAAGGCAATGTTTCTCTAGATACGATCCTTGATAACCTGCAGCCAAGTCAACATTATAGTTTTTTATACTTGTTAAAATGCAGATGCCTGAGAACCACATCCAGAACAACTGAAGTAGAATCCTTGTGGATGGGAGCAAAACTTGCGCTTTGTAGGTGATTCAGACAAACACAAAAAAATCGAGAACTACTATTCTAAGGATCTAAGCAATCAATGAAAGGGATTTACTGCTGACTGACTGCTCATTTTCCCATATGACACTGCATCAAATTGTATTTAAAAGTATGTACAGCAGGTAATAGAGGATTACAATAATAATATTATAAATAAACCTGTGAATTCATTAAA